GCACTCTGCACTTCCACCACTATAAATTTATAAATTATTTTATTTAATACGTGACTAATTAAAGCATTTTCAATATAATAAATTTCATAAATATTTATTTTTTCAAATATTTTGATAAAATTATATTCATAATCAGATTTACAATATAATTATAATTAAGACAAGTATCCATTGATACACACAATTAAAGTATGTTTTATAGCATTCATGATCTAAGTTTTTTAGATTATTATATTTGCAATTAACTTATACAAGTAGGCGTCACAATAATTAAAACAGTACAGTATTATAAGTTATTATGTTATGCATTTGAATAAAACAAATGAACAATAAATTAAAGAATGGGCAATATAATTAAATGAGTTGAGTAATTATAATTCAATCTTTATTTTAAAGTTATTAATAATTAAATTCAGTTTATCAATCATATTGTGGCCGATGTTTAATTAGACTAAAATCATTGAATAATTGTTGATAATTAGCGGCGCGAATATCACTCGTGGATAACTTTTTAACCTTACCATCAAATAAGTTGATCTGGGTTGTTAAAAAATTGCTCACCTAAATAATAAATCAAATATAAACATATTAATAATTACATGTCATTACAATACTATACAATAAAACTATCACAAAACCTACCCTATCGTGAAGATCGGGCCAAAACAACAACCCTCTTGAGCGCTCGTGTTTGGCCGCTTGTACCAGGAACATGTTCAGTGTATTGACCCAGGCGTGCAACTCAGTGGCCAAATTAACCTCGGTGTCGGTCACGTTAAGCTCGTGTCCGGCCCTCGATTTGGCCTCTTGAGCCGCTACGGCGGACATCACTGTAACGCCTTCCCAGAGTTTACGGTAGGTTTTCAATTGAAAAGTGTGATTGGTCAATTGGTCAATGCGACCATAATCTTCGTGTATTTCGGTGTTGACCGCTTTATCTAAGGCAACGTAGAAATCGGCCACCGGTTGCAGGTTATGCCGGGCGTATTGGGCCTCAGCCGCCACCGGTAGCCGTAAGGTTGCCCTCTATTTGCGCTTTGTATTCGGCTATCGTATAATTTACCAGTGGTCTACCAATGCTGTCACTCCCGGCCTCACAGTCATAGGCTGTTGTAAAAAATGTGTTTTTTAATTCAATAGCTTCTACTGATAATTATGAATTAAAAATAAAGTAAATACTTTTATAATTTAACAATATAAAATAATATTTGTTATAATAATAATTTACCTGAAACAAGCCCGCTCACTAAACAAAATAAGAGCACAGCAAATGAGTTATTCATTTTGTTATAGGATTTAATAACAATTTCTATTTAATTTGTGTTATATGATCATGATAATGGTATAATTTATATAAAATTTTTAATCTATCCAATTGGAACATTTACAATGTTCATACAATATTCAGATTTTTAATTTATAGTCACTCTTAATCCTCAAGTAGGGTTGCCAACTCTGATCGACTACCGCCTTGAAAAATACAAAATAGTTCTAAATTCACCTTGACCAAACCTTGACCACGATTATTATTGCATATTTGATTATAAATATTTTTGCAATATGAGTAATTTGCCTTGATTTGCAAGGTGAGAGGGTTCTGGTCAAGGTGAAAGGCGAGGGTCTCACCTTGACATAGAGAGGTCAAGGTGAGAGCAAGTGTAATTACCGTATGTCTATTTTAAGTATTTATTGTGATGAACACACTATTTAAAGCCCAGAATAATATTTATTGCCTATTTTTATAATAGTAAAACAAACCTTTTATTAAAAACCCTTAATAAGAAAGACTTGTCTTAAAAAAGCCCGTATCATATATGGAAAATACACTGTATTATAATAAAACAATGTTATAATTAAATTAAAATTTAAATTAACATTTTACTCATATTGCAAAAATATTTATAATCAAATATGCAATAATAATCGTGGTCAAGGTTTGGTCAAGGTGAATTTAGAACTATTTTGTATTTTTCAAGGCGGTAGTCGATCAGAGTTGGCAACCCTATCCTCAAGTAGTTAATTATTAAGTTATCAATTTGCTAAATCTAGTGCAACTCCACTAGACTAACCTAGTGCAATTGCACCATTTTTGACATACACATGTATGTTCACATTATATTCAATTTTACTGTATTTATGTTTTATTTAATATACTGTATTGTAATCTATTAATATATAAATGAATTTTAGAAAAATTAAAACTTTAGCATTTAAACGTGTATTGATTATTAACAATATATTAATTTATTATTCAGATAAACTAATGTTTTAATTACGATTCTTTAATATGATGATATATTTATATATATGATTAATTATTTCATAAAATAATTATAAAATTAAGCATAATGAGTAAACAAAAATGCATGAATATGTTCTACCAATTAATACTGTATTAGTAAAACGTTTGTCACATAAACAAGCTTAAGATAGTCTTTAGTATAGTCTAAATACATTTTTATATGGTAAATGAGTTGATGTTTTAAAAATAAAAAAGTTAGTATAAATTAATTATCAAACAGTTTATTATAATTGTTTAAAAATGATTTTAAATATCAATACAAACAATACGATTGAATGTCGGGTATGTCTGGAGAGCACAGACGAGGAATCGATGATAACTCCGTGCGCTTGCAGTGGATCTATGGCTCACATTCACATCAAATGTCTTCAGCGGTGTATTGAAACCAATGGCCGACACGTGTGTGACATTTGCCACAAGGAATGGATGGGTATTACGATTACCAAAGAAATGAAAACTTATGGCCAGTTTCTTAATGAAAATCCTGTTTATTATACAGAGATGATTATGTCTGCAATTTTGGGTTTATTGAACATCTTTACGTTAATATATTATTATCATATATTTAAATATTATATATTAAATGAGATACATAATTTAATGTTTCGTATTTTGACAATATGTCTTGGGATATCTATGTCATGCATTTGTTATATTTTATACGATATATATACCATATTTAAACAATGGAAATTATATAATTTTAACGTTGTTATAAAAACAAATTAAATGTGAAAAATATGTATCAATTGTATATTACATAAACTGTATAATTATTTTTATTTACAGAGAATTGCATTTAAATATAGTAATTATTTTTAGCGATTTCTCCAGTCACGGGATATAAACCGATGGTGTATTGGGGTTTAGTTTATTTTATTTTAACTATTTGAGACATAATACTGTAATATGAGGCGATTGCTGCTAGAAAGAGATGAGCGAGTCTACTGCGACCCATGTTAATAGCACACGGAGCTATTGATGCTTCACTTCAATGCTATCAAAGGAGGCAATGCTTACCTGCAATGCTTCAGTATTACTCATATTAATAGCCACGCTTTGCTAGTATTGCAGGTAAGCATTGCCTCCTTTGATAGCATTGAAGTGAAGCATCAATAGCCCCTTGTGCTATTAACATTGGTCGCAGTAGACTCGCTCATCTCTTTCTAGCAGCAATCGCCTCATATGTTTCTATATATCTACAATATGTATGTACAATACGACCAAATAGTACGTGCACGATTAGAAAATAAACGTTGATTATTTTGTTTAGAATAGAATTTGTGAATAATCCTCTGATTAAGCAGAATGATAAATCTATCTCTAAATCGATGTACTTTATAATAGTTGTAAAATTTATGCGAAATTTTCATCAAAAACTCGGTTAACATTAAAACAGAAAAGCCGAACCATATGCTGAAAACACTGGCCACGAGACACACGTACTCCTCGGCCGACAGTTTAAGTTGAATTTCATAGACAACCCGGGGCTCAGAGGGGCCAATGAGAAACAGAGAAAACAAACTTGAACGAGTAGATATTACCGGCAAATAATCCTTTTCAATTCTTATTCTATAATACTCTCGATAGCAATCAACACGAGATTCGCACCACTGACCACATATGGCATATAACCGATTCATTAACATATAATTTCTACAAATTTTAACCCATAATTGGTGGTACCATTTGTCATGACAGTGTTGGGCACTCCGCCTGTTTGGTCAATAAACAGTTTATTAATACATCCGTATATACAGTGTTTCCGTTTAGCAGTGGCTCCGCAAACAATATTGTTTTGTCCCGCAAACACGTAGTGCACGGCAGCGGTGCTGTAATGTAGGCGCAGTTGATTACTAGACGATAGGCTAATGTATTCGGTATCCTTTCGGTTGCTATACAGCAACTCATCTCTCGAGTGTATTGTAAGTAACAATGAATTGTCCTGGATTAAATGCCTATTTGTTATACGTAGCATCATAATGGATTTAAACAATATATTATTTAATTTGATTGTGTATCCATCGGTATAGTTGGTAGGATATAAGCCGGAGAATAGGGTTAAACAATAACGACGATCGTCTATCGCAGTTCCATACGAGCTTATCCTTGAACATGGTGTATAAAATTTATGCGAGAATGTGCGATAATTAAAAGTTACATAATTGACATTAATGCTATTGTTATACGCGAAACAATTAAATAGTTCACCAGGCTCCCTCATGGCGGCAATTTGCTCGCCAATCGTTAGCGTATTTAAATATTTTCCGATATCATTGTCTGTTTTATTGTCAGTTTGATTGTAGTTCTCAACGAATTGTTGTTTTAATATCCATTTCTTATCAAAACAGATAGTAATGGCCGTTTTTTATTAAATACAGATACAATACACTATAATATTGTAGAAGTAAGGTAGATTATAATTTATTAATAAAATGTATTATTAATGCAATGTTAATAACCCGATAAATCTTATTGTTTAAAGTGTTATGATCATTTGCCGAAATAATCAATTTTAATTAATTTAATTTAATCTAAAAAAAGATATTTTGTAATACTCCAATAAACTTATAGCAACTTAACATAATTGTGAAATTTGTATTATTCTATAATTTTAGTAAAAGCCATAAAACAATCCATTTGCAAAAAATATAGTCATAATTATATTGAATTATTTTATTTTAAAAATCAGATTACATTTATATTTTATTGAAATTCTTTATTCGACATAAAATTTATAAAATACTTGTAATCATTGCCCTAACAGTGAGTGTAAATCATTATATAGTTGTTGATAATTAGCGGCGCGTATATCAGTAGTGGTCAATTTCTTTACACTGGCATAGAATACAGTGACCTGGGCATTTAGAAATTCACGCACCTACATCATAAACCATATAGAGATAACAATATTAATGTTTATAATTCATAAACATAAAATTATTATAAACTTACCCTATCGTGAAACTCGGGCCAAAACACTTTGCCTTTAGCACGCTCGTTTTTGGCCGCCTGGATCAGGTAGTTACTGAGATCAGTGACCAATGTCTGCAGGTCTTTAGCCAAATTAACCTCGGTGTCGGTCACATTAAGCTCGTGACCAGCCCTCTCTTTAGCTTGGTGCACACCAGTCGCATACAACTGCCAAACACCCTCCGTAAGCTTACGATAGGTGTCCAGTTGTAAAGTGTGGTTGGTGAGTTTGTCGATTCTAACATAATCGTCGGGTATCTCTTTGTCGCCCAGTTTACTGACGGCTACGTAGAAGTCGGCCACCGGTTGCAGATGGTGTTGAGCGTAC